TCAGAACTGTGCCAGCTGACCATCATCTTATCAGGACAATGAACTATCTGTTTAGTGCTTCATGGATTGCCTCGTTTGTAAATGCATATGTAACATGTTCATGAATGTGCTTTAGCTGGCAGAGTTTGTTTGATGTCTTGAATTGTGTCCTGTTAGGACAAGGTGTGAAGAGATATTTTTTGTAATGCCACTATCCTCTCCTCATGGCTTTGTCCCTTTTTCTATCTAAAAAAATGTATTCTGAAAAGGATAAGAGGGCCGCGCTTATAGCAGCAGCTTCGTGCACTCCACCCATCTTTTGGACGACTGTACGTACATGTTCTCTGTGTATCTTGGTGCAATGATAATAAAGCTGAAGTTTTTTAAATGGGTTTAAACAGAAACTTCCATGAGGTTATCGGATGTGTATCTATAAATTATTACCTTTAAGAGTCAACTTAATTCAAGATGGCCACCATGGCTAATCAACCTTAAACAAACATGACCATAACTCAGTCGAGTGGACAAATATTGAGCTAAACTTTTGTGCAGTACTAGCTGGGACAAAACTCACATAAAAAGTTTGGCAATATTTTTATAGATGTCTTTCGAGACTCAATCATTGTGATGGTTGTGTTTTTGTTTTTTTCTTTCTAGTAGAAAACTGAGAACTCGTTAAAAATATCTATTAGAAATAGATATGGAATAGAACTGAGTTCTTTAACATACGAAAAGTTTTAAGTAAGAAAAAATGTACTCAGGAATTAAAGAGCAGCACAAACAGCACATGGGATTTATGTGCAAGACTCGAAGAAGTTCTGGTTAGAACCACTTGGATGAAGTGTAAACATTAGTGATATTCATAAAAGCATGATTTGAAACTTTTTTCTGTAAGCAGTTAGATCCTGACCGTGAGGCGAGGATGTCCACGTAGCATCAAAACCGTCTCTGGCCTGGGAAAAGTCACTCTTGAAGCGTAAGTAGAGCAGGTTAGATTGTGGGAAGATGGGGCTGGGCAGGGTGCTACCACAGAACTGACCAATCAGTGGCGAGTCTGCTGTACTTCCATTACGAACCTACGTGACAACACATTCAGAATAAACTTATATTTGCAAATAATGTTCCAGCAAGGAGCAGCATAACATGAATCTACAACAACAAGATGGAATTCTTAAATGGTAAATGGACTGTACTTATAT